GAGTAGAGGTGGAAGAACTTCCCCCCGCAACCAATAAATATAATGAAGTATGTGCAATTTACACTTTACGTAAGGCATAACTTATCAAGCTGTAAAAATATCAGAGCCTAAATAAAATATTTTATGGCCTCAAAGCTAACACACGACAAAACCTTCATTTCAAATGATTTAACGTTTGTTCAGTTTAAAGCAGATAAACAAGGTTACATGACATCCAATTTCACAATGCTGAGTTCCTAACAACAGTGACAAAACTGACTTGTCATCACTGCACATCCAGACTTTATTAAATCAATGCAATATATTTCTGACACTGATTAAAGTTAATACTTAAAATTTAAAGTCTGTATACACCAGTAATTGGAACAGGACAAACAGATAAACTAGAGATTTCTGTAGACATCAGGTTCCTCATAGCTTGATCATACAGAAAGACAGGAATGAAAAACACAGCAGTAATAAATGCCACTTACCTTTAAAATCTCTCCTCGCTTGAAACTTAATTCATCATCCGCAGTAGCTTTGAAATCGTATTTAGCTATTGCCTCCATGGCATGGGCTGTGTGGATGTGAGACAGATATAAAGCTCCAGAAGGAAGTGCTTCTATAGGCAGAATAACAGCCCTGACTGATCTGATTCAATCTCCTAATATCTGTCCTTGTCACTGCTGACCGTGGAGTGACAGATCTTCCTTGTCTGGGTGCTGTCAGCCTGCAGACAGACAAAAAGATTTGAAGCAAATGTAGTTGTCTATGGACGAAGCATCAGGAAAAAGATTTGATTTTTTTTCTCCCTTTAAATCAGATCTGGTATGAAGCAGCTGTGCAATGCACGCAAATATAAAGGGAAAGGAATAACTGGGTCGAGCTGACGTTTTCTTGCAACCGACTATGAGCCAATAAGAGGAATCAGATGTAGCTAATGTGGGGTGTCTTGGGTGATACTGGATGCTGGTGAAAGAGTCATGCAGACCTGACACACTGGCTGAAATACTGAAGTCACAACAAAGGGCTTATACATGTTAACTAATTACAATTACAAACAAATTCTTCATTCCTGAGTGAGATGCGTCATTACAGAGATTCATGTCAAGATCAGGTTGCTTTTCTACGCTACTGCTTGAGGTTTTAATTCATACCAGTGATTTGAATCATTGAATCGACTCACTAAGAAGATTCATTTAGATTCGCTCACTGATTCACCCAGAGGCCTTTTCAGTGCGAGTGTTTGAGTCAACCGATTCGTTAAAAATTCATCTACAAATCTAAGAAGCTCTAGTGAGAGAGTTTTACTCGTTAACTGACAACAAAACAGATCATTAAACATTACTAACCGAACGAACGACATGCCCCTTCTCCTTTAGTCGGTCAGCAGATCCTTGTTAACGAAAAAATGGCCAATTACTTCAAATCCAGATCGTTCGCGAATTGTAATCGAAGTCAATCGTTCAGTGACAATCCACCGAGTCTCGTTCAGTAAAGGAACTTATTCGTTCAAACGATCTAACCAGTGAAAATGCTCCCTCCATAGCCCACACACGAATGATATTTGCTCCTGCTTATAATCCATCCGACGGCAGAAAATAACACCAATGGAGTCACGCGCTTATTTCAACGAACAAAATACGAGACAGCGCATGCATGGGACTGAACGAGAACGATTCACCTAAATGATTTGTTCACTCCACTATTCGACTCAGCTAGTGATGCGACATTCTAGCACTTTGCCGTTATAATCATGCAGTCAATACGCTGCAAACACGCAACGAAGACTGACCTCCGGACAGCTCGCTCTTAAGTAAATGTGCAGTGTGGGCCCTGGGCGTCAGTTACGTCGTAGACAGCTTCGTTGATTATGATAGGAGCAATAGTTTGTCGCTTCGCGTCGTTCGTCTACAGTTGTTGTAGTATAATCGGTTCCGTATGTAAATAGTTTGGGTTAGAGGAACGGATTCGTTTAATGACAATATGCTGTGATGGTGATCTGCGGTCCTTTGTTTGGACACCAAACTTTTCAGCCTTGTGAAGCATATACAAACACCACAATAATTTCCTTCGCATTTTTATTTCCCCTACATCTAATCTTAAAAAAATGACCAATCTGACTGAAAGGAGTCGAACATTAGTTATTCCAATGCAACTATCTGCTGATTAGATAAGGAAAAACACTTACCCAGCGCACAGAGGTGCAGAGTCTCCCTCTCCGATCCCTCTTACGCAGTGAAATAAAGAACTACATAGAAATACTGCATTTTAACAACAGTAAAATCATGTTCATAGGGCTTACGGTTGCAGTTAATTTTCCCGACTCCGGAGTAGCTCCGGGAAAAGCAAGCGGGCTGTTAATTTCCGCTTCCTTCGTGTTATGGTCCGCAAAGATGGAAAGGTCCAAACATAAACTTCACACACTGAAATAATAGTGAAACTACACAAATCGACAGTGCACCATAGATCCGTTTCATTTAAACGCGCGTATCCTCTTATCTAAACCTTTTAATCTCGCATTGAAGATTGCAGTACAGATTGGAACTAAACAGAAGAGAATGGTTGTTCCAGTTCTCTATGAGAAAAATGCAGCATGACACACAGATGGACGGATCGACATCTAGTGGACAAATAGTGACATTGCTGGACCCCATAATTCAGAGAAATTTCTGGCTGCAGAAGCCAATTTACAGTAAATTTGAGTAAAAATACACAGCAACACTTGTTGGGTTGGTACAGTGGTTAGGAAACACAAACAGACCCACACGAGCCTCGCATCAATATTTGAACAACTGCAAACCTTTTTTAAAAAGAAGACAAAATAGTGATGCCCTGATGGATAGAGGTGCAGTTGCCATTTAATAACTGGAGGTGTCAGCTGGTGTCCAAGGACAGTGAGTGTCTAACTAACCCATCTCTGCAGAGACCCTGAGACTTGTGGATGCTGCTGCTCCATCTCGTGCGTCTTCAAACAAGTTTTCCGCGTTTTTAGCCTAAAGAAATCTGATATTTGTAAAGCCCATGTTTGCTTCGTTTTTATTCGTTTTTTATTCATTGCATGCATCGATAAGGTATCTAATGAGTACGGTGGAAATAGTGTATAGAGTTATAATACTATAAGTAGCAAATATGAGGCGGTGACAAAGGTGTGACTTTCACTGTGAGACTTGAAGTTATTAGCTGCTTTGTCTGCAGAGGTAGATGTAGATACGGCATTTCATTCACAATTTTTAACATGGATATTTCTGAAGATTCTGAAAACTCCATCTCTGCTTCTCTTTAACTCATCAGGACATATAACAGATAGGCATATTTCAGGGAAACCGTATTGTGGCAGTGAAGATAGAAATCCAGTTTGGTTTAGAGCAAATCAGCTGATGTTATAAGCTACTTCACGAACTGTTTTAAGGAAAAGTAACATGCATTATTATTATTATTATTATTATTATTATTATATAACTAATTATGTTATATGGCATGAATGCAGCCTTTCTTTCGTTCTTTCTTTCTTTCTTATGTGCATTCATAAAGTATGCATTTTAGGCACTGTACATTCTTAAAAATAAAGGTACTTAAAAGGTTCTTCACAGCAATGCCATAAAATAACATTTTTGGTTCCACAAAGAACCATTCAGTCAAAGGTTCTTTAAAGAACCATCTCTTTCTTACCTTTTTATAATCTGAAGAACCTTCTTTTGCCACAAAGAACCTATTGTGAAACAGAAAGGTTCTTTAGATGTTAAAGGTTCTTTATGGAACCATCTTCTATGGCATCGTGAAGCACCTTTATTTTTAAGAGTGTAGCTACCATTTCTTTTAAGTTTATCACCATAACAACTGCATAATAATTATTTAATTAGCATAAGAATTAACAAAAAGCTGTTTAATAAATGCTGCACACCATATGTCAACATTTTTCTCTTTAAAGTTTGTTCTTTATATATTTTATCTATTATAAACACACACACACCACATATGGATCTCATTCTTATGTGTGATTTCATTGTGTGTTTAGTGACCATGGGGGACCAGAATGGAAATGCCATCTTGCCTAGTATTTTTGGGACCATATGTTTTTTGGGCATCATTGGAAATTCTATTGTCATCTACACCATCATTAAAAAGACCAAATGCCAGGCTAAACAAACGGTACCAGACATTTTCATATTCAGTCTCTCTATTGTGGATTTGCTTTTCCTCCTCGGCATGCCCTTTCTTATTCATCAGCTCTTGGGCAACGGATCTTGGTGTTTTGGAGCCACTATGTGCAAAGTCATCTCTGCCCTAGATTGGAACAGCCAGACAGTGAGCACCTACATCCTCACAGTTATGACCTTGGACCGGTACGTGGCTACTGTCCACCCGTTCCGTTTTAACCACGTCCGGACAACCTGTATCGCCAGTGGTGTGGTGGGGATGGTGTGGGTGCTTTCTCTCATCTCCATTACTCCTGTCTTAATGTACACTGGCTTGATGCCTCTCCACAACGGCCAGGTGGGATGTGCTCTCCTGCTTCCGAATCCATCCATCAACATCTGCTGGTTCACTATCTATCAGTTTGTGCTGGCGTTCGCCCTTCCGCTCATGATTATCTGTGTGGTGTTCTTTAAAATCTTGAAGCACATGTCTACCTCAGTGGCACCTCTTCCCCCGAGGAACCAACAAGTGCGCACTAAAAGTGTGACTCGGATGGCTGTGGCCATCTGTTTGGCTTTTTTCATCTGTTGGGCTCCGTACTACATCCTTCAGCTTGTCCATCTGGGAATACAGAAACCCAGTGCCTCATTTTATTATGCCTATCACGTTGCTATTAGCATGGGCTACGCTAACAGCTGCATTAACCCTTTTCTTTATATAATTCTGAGTAAGACCTTTAAACGGCAGTTTATAGTGGCTATCCAGCTTGCGCATAACCACTTCCGGGTCAACCCGAGCAGCACGGAGGCCACTGTGTCCCTCCGTCTGACCGCAGACTGCCAAAGACATATTCCTGCTAACACCTCAGAGTAATATACTAATGTTTTTTTTTTTTTTTTTCATTAACACAACCTAATTTTAAGAATACTATGGTGATTACAGATGATTGAAGGCTGAAGTGTGAGTATTTCTGTGAGTATTTCTTGGTCCAGTTGCAAATATATATATCTAGGGTTATGACAAGCAAGAAAATATCAAGAACAATAGGCGGACAAAGTACTCAACTCCATTACTTGAGTGAAAGTACAGATACTGCTTGTCAAATATTACTCCATTACAAGTAAAAGTTGTAAAGACAGATTTTTACTTAAGTAAACGTACAGAAGTACTGTGGTGGCTTCTGCCGTTGTTGTGAAGAATCTTTCTCAGAGTCTTGGAGTTTTGATGCCAGAAGAGATTTTATTTTCTGAGTCATGAGACATGTTCTGTGAAAATAAGGGCCCCATTATGTGCCATCATGTGCTTATCATGTACTTCTCCTACTTCTCCAACATTCCATTCTCATACAGATTTCT